GTAAAGAGAGGAACTTTGGAATTACAGGGGATTGCCCAGAAAATGCAATTCTGTAGAGTAGTGAAGCTGCGTTTGTCACATTTGTCCATGGCGATCCACCGGTGGCCATTTCAATAATTGTACATCCCAATCCCCAAATATCAGCTGGACACCCCTGTTCTTCCCCACGCGCCACCTCTGGCGCCATAAACATCGGCGTTCCTCCAATTGGCACTGTGCCATTGTCCCTCCAATTGGCACAACCAAAATCTGCAATTTTGGCACCGGTTTTACCTACCAAAATGTTCTGCCCCTTCATGTCACAGTGTATTATGCTCCTTGAATGCAGGTACTCTAGTCCTTGTAGAATTTGCTTCGTATAATAACCGATCAACGGCTCGTTCATCCGACCACCCTGTTTTCGAATTTCATCGGAAATTGTACCGTCCGGCATATACTCCATCATAAGATTAAACATGATTTTGTTGTTCTCTTTGGTAACATCGTAGCCCTTGTAGCTAACAATATAAGGGGAGCTCAATTGGGACAGAATTTTCTGCTCTTTTTGTAATAACTGCGACTTGGATAGCTCCACTGACTTAACAGCGAAGACCTCATCGGAGAAACGTGACTTGGCAACGGAGACCGCAGCAGAGGAGCCATGGCCTATGGTATGGCCTCTGATCCAATCCATTTGAAAAGAAGAAAATTGGTTGCAAGTGTAAGAATTTTAGAAAGAGTTTTGTTTTTGGTTTGTTTTGAAAATGCCACTTTGATTTGGGTATACATATAATGAACAGTTGGGTAGAGCTTAGGTGGCCTCACTTTTTGTCTTTAAAACGAAATTCAGAACGTGGCTAAATGCTTGTGGCCATACGGCAGCTTCAGTAGTTTCGAGGACTACAATTACTTCACCAATGGGGTTGTTGCCACGTGGCATACAATGGTAATATCAAGATGAGCTTAAGTCATAAACTTCTACTTAAAGGTTGTTCGTATATTTCATTTGAATATCTCAACTAAAGACTTGTACATATTCAACATACACTTAAAATATCCTTCATTTGTTCAACAATATTTGTCCATTATTGATTTTGCACACTTTTTAAGAAATTACAAATAAAAGGGTAATTTTACTATTTCACCTTTTGAATATAATAAATATCATGCCTTGAAAAATACAATACGGAAATAACTATAATTAATGATAAGGATAAATTAGGAATTAAGTGTAAACTTATTCATTGATTTCATAAAGTGAACAAGTATTGTTGGAAATCCTAAAATAGTACAGTGAACAACTATTGTTGGACGGAGGGAGTAATAATTAGAAAGACATAGATGTTAGAAAATAGGATGGGATAGATATAATGACTTTGATTAAATTTGGGAGTTAGGGAAAGTGTTTGGTAAGTATCTTTTCATAAGAGTTGTTTGAACCACCATCTACTGAATTCTTTCCATATTCCACTTTTTGATATATAGGGCATTGAATTCAACAGAAATTTGAAGCATATATAGATTTTTAACTTACTCAAATAAAACAAGCATAAGGTCAATCAAATAAATAATATTTCGGGAATACTATAGTCTTTCAACAACAAAGAGTTTTCAAAGGTTAAAAATTGGTTAGCTAACGACCAATTAATTTATTGAATGGAAATATTTGGTGAAAATGTTGGTGAGAACAACACAAAATTTCTTTCTCATCATGCTAAAGTAAGAATCATACTTGGAATCCTTGAGGTTTAAACAATCCTCACAACAAGTAGTGCTTCTTAACTTATAAATCAAGTCTCTTATAATTCTCCAATGTGACAAAATAGTTTTTAAATTTCCACAAGATTCCATCAGATGCCAACTTTTTAACTTTTTACTAGAAACAATTTTGTACTTGAACATCTCTTTTTCTAAATAAAATAAAATAAATGTGATATGTTTACTTATATGAGAAGCATAGCATCTATACATTATTATAACCCCTTTGTCCAAAAAGAATCTACAGATTAAATGTCATGTCCAACTGGTTATGCATTAAGGAAGTTGGCTACTTTAGACAACCAAATTAAGAATGTATTCCTGGTCCGTTTCATTTTACTTGACTCATTTATTAAAAATAAATATTTTTTTATTTGTTCATTTTAGCAACAAAATAAAAAGATTTTAAAATCATGTTCCACTTAATATTAAATAATTACATAAAGTAGTAATAGTCAAATTTAAAATTTCAAAATATCATTAATAAGATTAATTTGATAAATAAACCTTTAATCAAATTTTTTTTAAAGGATATACCATATTAACATAGGTCAAAGTAATATGAAAGGGATGAATATATTTTCAATATTACTGCAAGTATTTAATTATACTCCCATCTAAATGCTATGAGGCGTGGCGTGTCAATTAGCTAATGACTTAAGAGGTGTTATTTCAGCTAAACGGTATTTTCAATTTAAGCAGCTTTAATTTGAACTAGTTAAGCTCCTTAATTAATTATTTTCTTAATGAGGAAAGTTGGATAAGGCTAATTAATCATTCGTCGAGTGACAAGTGTTTAATGGATATTTACAAAATTAACACAGTTTATTTTGTATGGAAATAAATTGTCTGAAAAGGAACCAAAAAGGGGGAAATTGATTACTTCTTAAATAAGTAAACTTATTCTGACCAAAAAAAATAAATAAGTAAACTTACACAATTATTATTTTCTTTTCTTTTGCTGAATTTGAGTTTCTCACGTCAAAAAACTTACTCCCTCCTCCTAATTTACGTGGTGGTATTGATACGACAAAAAAAGACTTTATTTTAAATATTCTTATGATTACAAATTATCTCATTAAAAATAAATTATTCTGTCTCTTTTATTTGTCCTGTTGCATTTTACGCCCTTTCTTACTAAAGTTTACTATTTGCTAAATTTTGAATGTCCTTTTTATTATTATTATTATTATTTTTTATTTGTTGTTCAGTATTCGTATTGAAGTCAGACTAAATTTGAATTCGCGCTGAAAAGTGTTACATTAATGATAAAACGCTCCCTAACAAAAGCAAATACATACCCAAGGGGACCCAAATCGAATTGGAAAACTCAGATTAAGTATGAAAAAGTATTTATTATTATACCACAATCCTTATTGATTTAATTATGCATGTTTTGCTTTGTTTTGCATAGAATTATTTTATTTTATCCTGTGAGGATATAGAAATTAAGTGCAATGCAACATGGGAAGATGATAGACAGGAGTTGGTTGCCTGCAAGCAATTGTAATTGATGACGTGCAAGTGGGTGTTGTGTTGTTTTATTGTTGGCTTTCATGATCTTTATTTGAACATATAAAAAAATTATTTTGAAAAAAGATTCAGCCACACAGCCAAGTGTGGATTGTTAATTGGAGATTTTGTGTGTGGTATGATTTATAAATGATCCCACTTTGTAGAAGAATGCATTTAATAAGTGGACAAACTAAATTTGCGTTACAGGGACAGCTAGACATTGAGTTGGGCATGTACTCACGTTTGTACTTGCACTTAATTCCCAATCATATGATACTGCTAAGTACGAGGGGTGAAGTAATAAATACCTTTTCATTCTTCGTTAGAGTTTTGAGCTACGAGCTTTAAGATTATAGTAATCTTTGGAGAGAGTAACTGTCTCGCTCTCCTCCTTTCATAGTGATCTTGTTTACGTGAATTTACATTAATCGATTTTCATAACGACTTAAGGAATATATTTAGCCATTCATTTTTTTTTCCTTATATCACTTAGAAAGGTTTAGAAACCTTTTCATATTGTAATAAAATGTAACGTGGTCTTGTCTTTAGCTTAGCCATTGTGTGGTTGACAATTTTGTGGGCAATGACTCTAACATCACTGTTATTTGGCAAATAAAATAGACACAGCTACCAAATTATATTTTAAGTTGGCAAAGAGCATACGTGTAAATTTCCTTAGTCGGTGTTTGAAGTCTGCCTAGGAACTTCGATTAAATTCAAATTGCGTATTGTAGGGCTAATTCTGGGGTGACGCTTCCAACGGAAAAAAAATCCATACCTAGGACTTAAATTCGAGATCTCTTGGGTGAAGCAATCTCACCACTACACCAATCCAGGTTGGTCATACGTGTGGAAGTTGGGTATGGTAGATTGGATTGGGTTAAAACTTTTGATTTTGCGTACAGATAATTTGTTGACGATTAAATTAGGACTTATTTTGTGGTATTTTATACACATGTTGCTTTCTTACTTTTTGTTATTAGGTATTTCCCCTTTTGATGGACTTTGAATTTGGTCAGCCTTTGACATATGTACTTATCTTCTTTTTATAGGAGAAGTATTTGACATTTTTTAACGAAGTCATTTCTTCAATTGAAGTTTGCTTTGGAGTTGAATTGAGAGTCTATTGAGGCACTGCTTTAAAAAATTAAAATTAGCTATGAATTTTGTTGTTGGTTCGTCGTTATTTTGCTCCTCTAACAAAAATCTATTGCTAAGTAGGACTAGTGATAAATTTTGTTGTTTAGCTACAGAATTTGTCAGTTGTTAAATCTAGTTATTTTTAGTAGTGGAAATAACATTGTTATCTTATAAAAGTAGGAATAAGGTATATATATATTTTATTCTTTGCAATTTCCACTAATACAGTTACGTTGAGTATAATATTATTGTTGCAAGTTTACATATGAATTTTTGAAATTATGTTGAAAAATAGCTATTAAGGATTAGATTGTAAACTCTTTAAGGATCTTCAGTGTGATTATAACATCTTGCCAGACAGTTTAAATAATTTAGTGGTAATATAATATATATTTGCCCCAAGAAATCTTATAGATAATCTTTATGGGACCTTTTTTTTTTTTCTATGAAGATGTGGGGCTGGGTGCGCCAGACCACCAAATCTATGTCTACTATTCAATAAAAAAATTGTTTTTTTTTTTTTTTTTTGTGAGGTTTAAGACCCTTTTCTTTTACTATTTATGTGTTACGATAAAAAACAATTGTTTACTTTGAAGTTTGGTTATTTTCACAAATGGTCATACAAATATGAAAGCATTTTGCAATTTACATTATCAGTGCATATTAGTTAAACTCAAAAATGATCGTTAATCGTCATGAGAAGGGAGAAATGTCAGTTTTCATGGTCCTATCTCCACTGAATTCGGGTCGACCCTCAATAGTGAATTCACAACCATTCTCTGCCTCGAATTCTTAAGAGGTTCAATGTGTCACTTTCTTCATCGCCTTCTGCTGTATTGTACGGCAAGAGTTTGTTCACTGTAATTGTTTCATCTGTTGCTGCTTCTAATTGTGATCCATCTCTCATCATCATTCCATCTCCAATTTAATTCTCCTGAATTCGAACACAATTCTCTTACCCTTTGCAGGGGAGAGCTACCTGTTTGTAATATTGTAGTTTCTGATTCCTCCACGGAATTCCATATGTCTTGATCAAGAATGCTTGTTGGAGAACTCGTCACAAAATTCTGATTTGAATTCGAATTCAAATTGAATTCTTCAAGAAATGTATGTTTGAGGAGTTGTTTAGCTATCCATCTTTCTTTTGGATCTCTTCTTAAGCATTTGCTTAAGAAATCCCTTGCTTGTAAGGACAAGAATTTTGGGATTTCAGGGGATTGCCCTGAAAATGCAATTTTGTAAAGCAATGAAGCTGCATTTGTCACATTAGTCCATGGTGATCCACCAGTGACCATTTCAATAATTGTACATCCCAATCCCCAAATATCTGCAGGACACCCCTGTTCTTCCCCACGCGCCACCTCTGGTGCCATGAACATCGGTGTTCCTCCAATTGGCTCTGCGCCGCCATCCCTCTCTGCCGGATCAATCCACCTGGCACACCCAAAATCAGCAATTTTGGCACCGGTTTTACCTAACAAAATATTCTGCCCCTTAATATCACAATGTGCTATGCCACCTGAATGTAGGTATTCTAGTCCTTTTAAAATTTGCTTCGTATAATACCCGATCAACGGCTCATTGATCCGACCACCCTGTTTCCGAATTTCATCGGAAAGTGTACCATCCGGCATATACTCCATCATAAGATTAAACATGAGTTTGTCATTCTCTTTTGTAACATCATACCCCTTGTAGCTAACTACATAAGAGGAGCTCAATTGGGACAGAATTTTCTGCTCCTTTTGTAATAACTGCGACTGGGATAGCTCCACTGACTTGACAGCAAAGACCTCATCGGAGAAACGTGACTTAGCGACGGAGACAGCGGCAGTGGATCCATGGCCAATGGTCTGGCCTCTAGTCCAATCCATTTCAGAAGACGAAAGTTGGTTGTAAATGTAAGAGCTTTAGAAAGTGTAATGTAATGTTTGTTTTGGAGCTGCAACAGAGGAGTACATATATATATATACTAATAGGGTGAAGAATGTCCAAAGACTCCAAATTAGTTGGGTAGAGCTTAGGTGGCCTCACTTTTCTCTTTAAAAGGTTTCGTTTACTTTAATGGAAATTCAAAAACGTGGCTAAATGCTTGTGGCCATACAATAGGGTAAGATTGGACGGGTTATTGATCCGCTAATTCATTAGCTCAACATATTTCAATCCATTAAAAATTGGGTTGATTTGTAATTCGAATTGACTCATGAAAAATCTTGTCAAAATGTTTTTTTTAAACTTTTTTTCAATTTGATATGTTGTATAAAGTCATAATAAAGAAAAAAAATATAATTTTATTAGGTACTAAAATAGTTTAAAAGAACAAATGAAACAATTAAGCTTAGTAAAAACGAGTTGAGTTGGGTCTTGACCCGTAATGTAATCCATTACCTAACCCATTTTGACCCAAACAAATTTAGACTGAATTGGGTCTTGACCCGATTGTTATTTTAATTCATTATGACCCGTTCAAATTTGACTCAACCCACCCAATTGGCACCCTACCATGGCAGGTTGAGTACTTTGAAAGACAACAATTACTTCACCAATTGGGTTGCCGCCATGGCCCATGGGACATGCCACGATAATATTAAAATGAGTTTTAACTTCTACACATTCAGAAGCTTAAAAAAAACATGTATTTTTACACAATAGTTTAGTCTTCCAAGCTTAATTTCAAAGGAAAAAAGTGGTTAACGCCTTAACGGCCAATTTAATTATTGAAATGGAGACAAAAACATATTTGAAGAAAAAAGGGATTAAAGTGTTGGTAATGACATGATAATTACTTTTAATGTGAATAATTAAGCATGATCTCCTTCTAGAACAACAATAAAAATGTGATTTCTTGTCATTCTAAAGGAAGAATCACATTTGGTATCCTTGCAGTTTAAACCATTTCCAAAAAGTGACTAAAAGTGGCCCATTACTACTACTTAGTGGTTCTTAACTTCTAAATCAAGTCTCTGATGTGGTAAAATAATTTTTTTTAATCTCTTTTTTTTTTTGCTTTAAACAAAATATTGGTGCACCAATCAAACAACAAATTTCCAAAATAAAATGCCGACTTTTTAACTTAAACTGCATGCCCTTTTCTTTTTACATTATTTTTAAATATATATTTTTTAGGTATGTTTACTTCTATAAAAAGCATAGCATCTGTGTATTATATAATTGCTCTAGAATTGAGTTAACTTCAGTTGAATGAACATACCAACTTCGGCTAACACTACAATAAAAATAACTTTTAGCGGCAATAAATATACATAGTAATAAAGAGAGCTAAGACCTTTAATTTACTGACATTATTTAATTGTGATTGAATCAAATATCGCTATAGGCTTTAGGGATATTTACAAAGACTGTTAATTGTTGCTAAAAATCTACAAAATTGTAAATATGACAATAAAGAACAATATTTTGATGAGGATAAAGAAAGTGTAAAAAGTTCATTATATTCTTCAGTACAAGTTTGATTAAAGGGGACGTCAAAAGAACAATAAAAGATAAAGGTGTGAAAGAAGTTTACAACAAATTTCACCAAAAAGAATAATATGACGCAACAAGTGTGGTTATTTAGTTGTAAAGTAAAAGTAGAAAATCAAAAGACTTACCTCATCACTTAGGAGGCCTCATGACTTATGACACGATATAAGTACAATAACTTAGTTGGATATCATGAGAATAGATTTTAAATATAATTGCAAGCGGAGCGGAGCTAGTAGTCCGCATGCGAGTTCAATAAAATTCAGAAAAATATGATGTTATGTATGAATATTTAATTTAGAATCCAATTATTATCACTTAAAATCGTCATGTATAATTCAAAACTCATAAAGTTGAAAATTACTAGATTCACTTTTGATTACAAATAATTAGTTTATTAATTATATATTCTCCATATCCAATTGTCCATGACATGCTCCCCATGTATGAAGGTGTGGCGTGTGTGTTAGCTAATAATTAAGAGGTGTTGTTGGAGCTAAACTATATTATCATTTTATATAAGCACTTTAATTTGGATTAGTTAATTAAGCTCCTTAATTAATTGTTTTCTTAATGAGCTTGGAAATTTGGATGAAGGCTAATTAATCATTCGTCGAGTGACAGGTACTAATGGATATTTACTAAATTAACATATAGTTTTATGGCACATGGTATCTTAAAAAAAGCAAAACATAGAAAGAAAAAGGCACATGAATTAGTCCTTCTCTAATGTTTCTAAACCTTGTGATAGAAAACCAAAAAAGGGGCAATTGATTACATCTTAAATAAACTTACAAAAAAATATTTAATTTTTTTCTTTTTACTCCTCTAAATATTACGGTGTTTGATTGAACACAAAATTTTTAAAAATAAAAAAACATTTGAAGTTTCTCGTTTAGAATAATTATTGATTTTGTATGGACGGAAAATAAAATAATTATGATATTTAAAGTTAAATTATTTTTATATTAAAAATACTTTTTATTTACTTGCATTTTACACCTTCTTAAGAGCATGAAGTGTTTATTTTACTAAGGGAAAAGGGTCAAAAATGCCCTTGTACTACATGAAATGATCAAAAATGTCCTTTGTTCATATTTTGATCCATTTATGCCTTTACTGTTAATGAAATGGGCCAAAAATGCCCTAAAGTTTAACGGAGGCAACGGAAAATACTTAAACCATTTAATTAGTCTTAATTTGCTTACCCTCTTCTCTTTATCCGATGAACACAATTCCATTTCATTCACAAAATTTATTTATTTTCCTCCTTCAAAACCCTAGTCCCTCGTATAGATTTCTTAAATTAAGACTAATTGATTTGAAATAACAATATTACTAGTAGAAAATAACCAAACCAAACAAATATTTCACATTTACACTTGAAGATCACCTAAAAGTTAAACACACGAAGTACATATCGTCAGTAGTGGTAGTTTTTTCAACGTAATCAGTTGCATCAGAATTTCCTATAACAGAGATTATCGACAATAGTAGTCCCTTGTAAATTGTTGGTACCAGTCAATTAGGAGGCATTCTGGTTGGAAACAAAGGAAAATAGAGAAGAGGGTGGAAAAATTAAGATTAATTAAATTATTTAAGTATTTGATGTTGCCTCCATTACACCTGAGGGCATTTTTGGCCCATTTCACTAACAGTAAGGGCATAAATGGACCAAAGTATAAACAAATGACATATTTGATCATTTCATATAGTATAAGGGCATTTTTTACCCTTTTCCCTTTTACTAATTATTCATATTTACTAAGCATTTAATTCAAATAAATAAGTTTGAGAAATAATTACTTAACAATAAGGGTAAAATGAAAGAAAATACAATCTATTAATTTAAAGAAAGGAGCTAGTAAAAAGAAAATTTTGTTTTTAATATACTGAATATTATAAGTAAAAAGAAACGAATAAATGATTTGATAGTATATAAGTTATTAAGAATTCAATGCAATGCAACATGGGAAGATGATTGACAGGAGTGGGTTGCCTGCAGGCAATTTATAAATGAGGACATGCAAGTGGGTGTTTTTTGTTTTCCACTTAGTTTCTGGTATTCATATTGAAGCTCGATTAAAATTTGGATTTGTGCTAGAAAGTCCATATTAGGGGGTAAACCGTTTTCTAATAAAAATGACTCCATACTCTGAAAGACTCAAACTCGAGACTTCTGATAAAAATGAAAAAGTACTTACGACTTCATCACGATCCTAATTTAGTGCAAGTGGATGTTTTATATGTTAATGCACTGTTGTCTTTCACGTCCTCTTTTATTACTACTCCAATATAGTAGTAGTCCAACACTCCAAAGAGGTAGGAACAGAGGTTAGGATCTGTTACGAGAAAACAATATTCCTTTCTCCGTTTCATATTTGTTGATCATTTTTCATTTTGCACCATGCTTAAGAAATCATAAATAAGAAGATGACTTTATTAATTTACCCCTTAAAAAACTTCTTGAAATTTTACAAACAAATGTAAACACTTTCAAAAAGAATTAATTGAAAGGGTAATATAGGAAAAAATTAATTAAGCTTTTTTTATTAGTAAGGTGATCAATTAATATAAGACAGTTATATTTAGTATAATGATCAACTAATATAGAACGGAGAGAATCGTAATAAAAGAAAAACATAAATATATAGGGAAAAGAAAACTTGTGGTCAATGACCAACTCTTCTCACAAACTAATTAACATGATCTTTAATAAAGAGATAAAAAATAAATTAAAAGGATTTAGCCAAGTGTGGATTGTTGGTTGTAGATTTTGTGTATGGTATAAATGATCCTCTTTGGTAGATGAAAGTATTTATTAAGTGAACTAAATAGATTTGCGTTACAAACATTTATATGGACACGCCCACGTTTGTACTTGGCACTTGATTCCCAATCATATATTTTGCCTATCTATCATGTGAAGTAACATGTATTTTTTTCATTCTTAATAAGATTTTTTGACTTTAAAATTTTTTATGAATCCAAATTAATCGATTTGAGTTTATTCAATATTATTATTGTTTCTTATATCAGTTGGAATGGTTTGGAACCCCTCTCTTCTTGTAATAAAATAAATATTATAACGTGGTCTTGTCTTTTAGCTTACCCCTTTTGTGGTTGACAATTTATTATGTAAAATACGCAGAGACACTATTAACAGTGTGGGTTATGACTCTAACACCACTCTTATTTGGCAAATAAAATTGATACAGCTAGGCAAAGAGACATTGTGGAAGTTGTGTTAGATTGGATTGGGTTGAAAATCATGATGTTACGTATAAATAATTTGTTGACGATTAAATGCTACTAAAAATAGAGGCTTATTTCACCATAAATTAATGAGAAAAGTTGACATGGATCAAATAAAATAAATCGAGTTCACAGTCATTTAAAAATATCTCAACTAGACTCAATATGA